AGAGAAACTCAATGAGCAAAGTCCCATATCATTGTCCCCTGATGATATGGGATCAGACTTCGCTGGCTTTGGATTCACAGTTCAATATACTCCAATCCGAAATTCACAACCAATTTCACAATTTAATGCAATCTGGTTTATGAATAATCCCTCTACATATGACTATAGCTGTTTTGCGGCGTATAGAAAAACTTCTGAATAATGAATGAAAGAAAAGATTAGCAAGGGTCATTACTCTAATTGTAGATTCCATTTTAATGTGAATCTGTTTGATAATACTCCAGTTGTATGACCCATAGTGAATGAGCCCAAACATCCATTAGACAGTTTCGTCCAGTAATTCTCTCACCCAGTGACTAGCACAAAGAGAGATCAGCCACAGAACTAATTAATCTCATGGTGACTGAAGCCTAAAAGAGAAAATGTTGACACATGGGATATAGGATTCAAACAAATTCAATATTTAAACCTTTGTCCATTCGATACCCTGAGCTGCTGGTGTCTGCTCTTCATTAAGATTACCAGTGCTTTTGCATTATTGATTACAGTTACCTTTAGTTTTCTTGCCAGAAAGTTAACCACTTCATAATTGCATTGCAAAGTGCAGGAAAAAAAGAAACCCCAACAATAGTGTTGCAACAGCAGACAGAAACAAGGACAGCTGCTCACTAGCTACTGAGTAAAACAGGCTTTTTTTTGAAAAAAGGTAATATGAAGTATCATTCCTGACTGGTTTGTCACTGTACCAGCCTGTCTTATTGGTGGAATATGATAGTACCCTTGTTAGACCAGATGACAAAGGACAACAGGTCACACTGAATGCCATTTAGAACTTGACTTTTTTGTTGCATAAAACATTTGCTATTTAAGAGCGTTGTTGGGTAGGATTCATTGAGGGTATGTGTGCGCCAAGTGATGGATATTTGTTTGAGGGTCATTGCTAGGAGGGAATTTACACCAATCTTTAGATTGGAATTACTCGATTTACCAGGATGTTACCATATTGTGGAGTCCTGCAGCTCAGTGGTTAGAGCACTCGCTTTGCAAGTGAGAGACCTGAGTTCAATTCCAGGCAGGTCAGTGCGAAACCTTGGGCAAGGTTCCTTACTCCACACGCCTAATAATAATCCCTCCAAAACCAAAAACAATAATAAGTTGGTCATTTTCAATCTACGACTGTTTGTGGGACATTGCTGTGTGCAATTGGCTGCTGCGTTCGCCCACAAATATACAGTCAATTCACTTTACAGTGTGTTCTGTGAAGCGCTTTGGGACGTCCTCCCGATGTGAAAAGCGCAATATCAAATGCAAGGATTATAATTATTATTATTATATGTTAAGGTTTAAACCAAGGTAACCGACTGTCTATTTAGGAGGATGTTAAAAAAATGCTTGACTCTATTTGAAAAGAGAAAGCTTTGGCCAACAACTCGTGAAATAAAAATGATATTTCACTGATTGTGGGACATTGCTGTGTACAAACTGGCTGCCATGTTTGCCTAAAATGCACAGTTACATTTTACAGTAATTTCCTGTTATATAAGCACTGTATCAAAACACAGAGATCAATGTTTTCGTCAGAATCAAATGAGGTTTTGAATTCAAACAGAAACTCATATTATAAATCTTATGATTTGGTCTAAAGAAAACATTTAATTCAAAGAAGGCCAGATTTTGCTTGCTTGGACAGTGTCTCATCATCTATGAAAGTGATACAAATAATAATAATACTCCTTTAGCACTCCGGGACTCTACACCGTGTGAAGGTCGCTATATAAATGCAAGTTGTTGTTACATTTCATATTGTGCCTTTCATATCAAATGGACGTCTCAAAAAGCTTCACAGGATTTATTTGAAGTGTCGGGACCATATGTGCAGTCAATTTGCCCACAACAATGTTCCACAAACAGCCATTAAGTAAATGACCAATCTTATCTGGGTTAGGACAGTAGGAGAAACTCCCTTCCATTTTTGAATAGACTCATGGGATCCTTAACAACCACTTAAATAAGCAGATGGGAATTTGATTTCACATCTCTTCTGAAGGATGGCACCTCGAACAGTGCATCATAACCTCAGTACTGTACTGAAATATCTGCTCAGACTATATGAGTTCAAAGTCCTGACATGAGGTTTGAATCCACAATCTTTTGACTCAGAGACAATTGCTACCAAGAGAGCCAGGTTGACACATGGGATAGAAATCTACTTCTTGCAGAGATGTCATATTAAGTTGCTGAGAGTGAAATGCAACAAGGAGCAGAAGGAAAGGGAAACAAGTTTGGTGTGTGTTTAAAATAGGAATTGAAATTTAACCTCCATTTGTTTTAAAAGGAAGAGGAATTTTTTTGTCAATAGGGGTGGTATAAAACCATGTTATAATGCAATAAGATATATTGCATTTTATACTGTATTATTGATGGAGCCATTCAGAGAGCAGTTTGTAATCAGAAATTGATGTGTCAAAATGGTATAGAGAGAGGCTGCTCTGTCACTGTAAAGTTTTGTATATGGATAAATAAATAATAGGTACAGGTAACCTATATACCGAGTATACCAAATTTATATAAACACCTGCCATTAGGAGTATGAAACAGACACGCTAGAAGGCAGCCACTAACACATTCCCTCTTATTATATGAATTTTAATGAAGAGTGACAACCAAAATGTTAACCTATTTTTGTCTTTCAGATTCTACTAAACTGCTGTGAATTTCTATTATTTTCTCCTGGTATCCTACCCAACAATCTCCGCAAAAAAGTGGCCATTCACTTCATGGACACTTCATGTCCATAACCACATTGAGTTATAAGTGAACTCAATAAATTACAACAACAAATTATATTTCTTTGGGCCTTTCATGTCAGGAGGACAACCAAAGGTGCTGGATAGTCAGGGATTTGGACCCGGGCAGCGGGTTGGGATCAGGAGGGGTGGAGGGCAGGGAGGGTAGGGTAAGAAGGTGACCGATAGCATGGTCGGAGAGGAGGGTCTTGAGAGAAGCCTTGAAAGGGGCGAGGGAGGGAGCAAGGCAAAGGGACTGTGGGATGGAGTTCCAAAGGGCGGGGGTAGAGAGGCTGAAAGCCCGAACCCGACGGTGGTGCGGGGGATGTGGATCAGGAGGGAGTGACAGGTCAATATGGAGTTAGCAGGTCTCAGAGATAGGAAGCAGCAAGGCTGTGGAGGGCTTTGAAGGTGAGCTCGAGGATTTTGAACTCTATCCTCTGGGGTATGGGGAGCCAGTGGAGCCGGGTGGGGATGGGGGTGATAGAGGCATGGAGCTTAGTGCAGGAGGGGATATGAGCTACTGAATTTTGACTGATCTGCAGCTTGTGGAGGGAAGCATTGGGAAGGCTGACAAATAGGGAGTTGGCATAGTTGAGCCTAGATGGAATGAATGCATGGATGAAACAACAACAACAAATTACACTTGTATAGCACCCTTCATGTCGGAAATACATCTCAGGTGCTGGACAATCAAGGGTTTTGGACCTGAGCTGGGAGTTGAGGTCAGAAAGGGAGGAGGGCAGGTGAAGGTTGAGGCGAAGGGATTGAGGGATAGAGTCCCAGAGTGTGGGGGCAGAGATGCTGAATGTCCAACCGCCAATGGTGGGGTGGGAAGTGAGGGGGACCTGAAGCAGGCCGGTGTCCGCCGAGCGGAGGGAATGGACAGGCTGCTATGAGATTATAGGGTTGGAGAGGTAGGAGAGAGCAAGACCATGGAGGGCCATGAAGGTAAGAACAAGGGTATTGTACTCGATTCTCTGAGGAATGGGGAGCCAGTGAAGCTGGGTAAGAAAGGGGGTGATAGGTTCTTGGAGCCTTGTGCAGGAGAGGATACGAGATTCAGAGTTCTGAATAAACTGCATCTTGTGGAGGGAAGAGTTGGAAAGTCCAGTGAGCAGGCAGTTGGCGTAGTCAAGCTGGGACATAATGAAAGCGTGGATCAGGGTCTCGGCGGTCTGCGGTGAGAGGCTGTTGCAGAGGAGGGAAATTTTGCGGAAGTGTGGAAAAGCGAAACGGGTTACGGCACGAATGTAGGGTTTGAAGGATAGCTGAGAGTCGAAAATTACACCGAGGTTTCAGATTGGCTTGGTCAGGTGAAGAGTGCAGCCATGAATGGTGATAGTGTCAGCAGCTGAGGTGAGGAGTTGCTGCCGGGTGCCAAGTAGGAGGGCCTCTGTCTTGCCTACATTGAGCTGGAGAAGGTTGGCTCTCATCCAGGACTTAATGTCAGACAGACAATTAGACAGGACATCAACGGTCTGGGAGTCGACGGTGGAGGAGGCGAGACAGTGTTGGGTGTCTTCCACATACATGTGGAAATTGACCCCATATCTGCAGATGACATCGCCGAGTGATGTCGAGAAAGGTGCTCGACAAGTGCAGGTTGCAAGTATGTTGCATGTGTGTCTATGCATGTTTCTGTTGCACTCTTTGCAATCTCATTCACCCTGTTCACTAGTTCTGATTGAACTTGGATATTACTCTAAGGCAGTCATCTACCCAATCATCAAATCCATTGGTCTGAATGACTTTGGACTGATCAGCATCAGAACATTCAAGAGTTCAAGGAGATGAGATTTTCTCTGCTGCTGAGCAGAGTGATGTAGACCATTATTGATCAGTGTAGACTATTATTTGTTAATGGTGCTAAATTGGGCAGAGTTTATTTTATAGGGATTAAACTGTTTTGCCGCTTGTTTTCACAAATCTAAATGAGAACCGATTGCCACTATAATTGCAAATCTCTTTGAGCAACACTAATTGTTACTATATTTCTATAAGCCAAGAATAGATTAACTCTCAGTTAGTTGACATATTCTAAATGTATTACCAAGATATTACAGTGGCTGGTGAGAAAGCCAACTGAACATTTGTCTCTTCATGAAAATCTACTTGGAAACAGAGCAGCGATTTTCACATAAATCAGAATACTGTAAGTAGCTCATCCAACTTTAAAAGCTGTGAATTAATTCAGGGCCATCACTCCCTCACCTGTTTGTAAAGACTTTACTGTAGTTGAAGACTTGAATCTCCAGCATCTCATTCCCATCAATGCTACTGGCAACAGGCCACCGAAAAGTCTGTAATTTGCAACAAAGAGAAGTTCAGTAAATGTAAAGTACTTCATATGGAAGTAAAACCATCTTGTCCATGTATAGTACGGAATCTAATAATAATAATAATAATAATAATCCTTGCATTTGATATAGCGCTTTTCACGTCGGGAGGACGTCCCAAAGCGCTTCACAGAACACACTGTAAAGTGAATTGACTGTATATTTGTGGGCGAACGTGGCAGCCAATTGCGCACAGCAATGTCCCACAAACAGTCGTAGATTGAAAATGACCAATTTATTATTGTTTTGTTTTTTGGAGGGATTATTATTAGGCTCTGTGTGGAGTAAGGAAACTTGCCCAAGGTTTCGCCCTCTGCCTGGAATTGAACTCGGGTCTCTCGCTTGCAAAGCGAGTGCTCTAACCACTGAGCTACAGGACTCCACTTTGCCAATCATTTCCCCTTTGTTACCTCCTGCCTAGACTTTTCAAACATACTTTTCACTGGCCTAGTTTGTTCCACCATCCAAAAGCACCAGGTAATCCAAACCTATGCCATCCACATTTAAAAACAGTTTTTGAGGGTCAGCTAGGTGTCTGACACAAGCTGAAACCCATCACCATGCTTAAGTGTATCAAACTACCAAAACCAAACTAAGAATTCCATGCCACCCACATCCTCGCCTACACTGAACTCCACATGCCCATCACCCCAGTCTTTGCCAGGCTCCACTGGCTCCTTGACTCCCAATGGATCGACTTCAAAGTGTTCATCCTAACCTATAAATCCCTTCACACCTAGCAACTTTGTCTCTCTCTTTGTGGTCTTCTAATCTACTTCTCTGCTTGCCTAACTTGGGCTTCCTGCGCATCCCCCACACTACTTACGCCATCATCGGTGCTCAAGCCTTTAGATTTTATGCCCCTAACCTATGGAACTGTAAACCCTTGTATTTCTGAAAATGGTTGTGATCAAAACTGCTTGTATAGCCACTGAGTGGCATTTTGACAATTTATTGTTTCTAAGCCATTAAAAGTTACTGATCCAAGTTCCACAATAATAACCCTTACATTTGATTTAGGACCTTATAACATCTTCAAAACGTCTCAAAGAGCTTCACAGAATATACTGTAAAGTGAGTTGATTGTGTATTTTGTGGGCGAAACATGGCAGCCAATTGCATACAGCAGTGTCCCACAAACAGTGAGTTTGTCTTTTGAGTGACCAAATTATTTTTAAAATTTATTTTGAAGGAATTATTACTCCCGGAAAGCTGATCCACCGATCGACTAACAACTGGGTTCCTATTTACTGCTAGGTAAACAGGTGTGTGGAAAAACAAAACTTGCCCAATGTTTCACCCTGCCAGGAATTGAACCCAGGTTTTCTCACTTGAGAAGCGAGTGCACTGAGCTACAGAACATCACAATGAAACAATGTTGTTGAATAAAACACAATCTAGAGGCTTTTAAACATCATGTTCGGCATTTGATTTATTCCATCCTCTCCTCTATTATTTCCAAACATTATATTAGGTCTTGAATTTTCACCTAGAATGCTCAATTAAAAAGTAATCTTTCCTCCTTAGCCTTTAAAAACCTAATTTAAGGAAAAAGTCTTCACGTTTCTCAATCATTGAAAATGAATAAATCCTTTGCAATCAAAACAAACAAAAGTCATGATAATCTTAATTCGTGAATGATAAAGAGAAATAAAAGGTTAGTGGATGTTGATCCCTGCCACAGATTCACCATGTTTGGATATAATTGCCCTTTGTGGTCAACCTCAGATGATATCATTGAGGCTGCTTGGGATGTTGGGAGAAGGAGAAGGGATTATCATTGCAAAGACTGAAGGGATACTGACCAAACTCAGTTGGTATTGAGTCAGATTGAAAAAGGTTGAGTGCTTAAAGTTTCAAAAATGTTGATTAAACAGTCCAAAAAGGATGATTTCAACACAAGCCATGACAGCAGTTACCGAATATAATAATAATCCTTGCATTTGATACAGCGCCTTATCGTGCCATTAAGACGTCTCAAAGGGCTTCACAGAATATACTGTGAAGTGAATTGTCTGTATATTTTGTGGGCGAAACGTGTGAGCCAATTACACACAATAGTATCCCACAAACAGTTGTGAATTGAATGTAGTGATGATTAAGGAACAGGACCATTTTTAATAATAATAATCCCTTCCCTTTGAACTATTTCTTTACACAGAGAGTAATAAACAGCCGCAATGGGCCAACAGGAAGGGTGGCTGACTTCAGAGCACTGGACATATTTAACAATTCGATACTATAATAGGAAGATGATGGGGTTAGTATTCTGGAAGGCGATATGATGTCGGTCAAATGATCTTCTTCATCTAAATGTTTTTTGAGTGTTTCTGTGAACACTGGTTTACTGTGAAAGCAACATACAGTATATACAACTTTGGCAACCAGGGGAATAGTATTCTGGTAAGAAAATACAGTCAAATATTTATTTTCAAAGAATCAATATAGTTGTAATCATATTCTATTACTATTGACTTTTGCACTTTTTTCTTTCAAGTTAACTGTGCACACGACTGTAAGGTAATGGAAAAGACCATTGGATTTCATCTGGCTGGTCTTAAAGTTATAAAAAATTGTTTCTCCCCATATAATTTGCTCATGTACTTCAAAACTATTATCACAAACACATATTTGTTATTGTTGGTTTGAGACTGATGAAATCTCAATAAGTCAGTGCGTTGTCTGGACAATGTAACATTATTTTTAAAGGCTACAATCAATAATCACAATGTTAGCCTTAACACAAATCACTGTACACTTTATTTCAGACAAACATAAACGTTTCAGCGTAGTGTCACCCCCCCCCACCCCACCACAAATAAACTTCAGGGGAAGATTTCAAATTCATTTGAGTCTTACCATTGTTGATCGATGGCCTTGGCATCTTGACCCCTTTCAATAGAAGCTCGATTTAGTGGCAGCAAAGATAGTAATAACAATAATAATCCGTGCATTTGATATAGCGCCTTATCACGTCTTCGAGACATCTCAAAGCGCTTTTATATATTGTAAAGTGAATTGACTGTATATTTTGTGGACGAAACGCAGCATTCAATTGTGCACAGTGCTGTCCCACAAACGGTTGTGGATTGAGTGACCAAATTATTATTATTTATTTATTTTCTAGGAGGGAACAGCAGAAGGGGAATAGTTTGTCACCATCCTGAAAACTCAACAATTGTCATCTTCAAATTAATAATAATAATCCTAAAATTAATAACAATAATATAGCACCTTATCACATCTCAAAGCGTTTCACAGAACGTTCTGTGAAGTGAATTGATTGTATATTTTCTGGGCGAAATGCCCCAAATTAACTTTTAATAGGAAAAGAAAAATAATTATACTCTAAAATAAGTTGATGAAGAGAGCGAGACAACAACAACAACATCAACAACAAATGACATTTACACAGCGCTTTTCACGTCGGGAGGACATCTCAAGGCGCTGGACAGTCAGAGATTTGGACCTGAGCTGGGGGTTGGGATCAGGAGGGGTGCAAGGCAGGGAGGATGGGAGTAGGAGGGTGACCGAAGGCACGGTTGAAGGGAGGGTCTTGAGACGGGTCTTATCAAATGCAAGGATTATTATTATTAATGAAGGAGGCAAGGGAGGAGGCGAGGCGGAGGGACTATGGGTTGGAGCTCCAGAGGGTGGGGCAGAGAGGCTGAAGGCCTCAAACAATAACAATTCTAGCAACATAGGAGGTCATTCAGCCTCTCAAACCTGTTCTGCCATTCTCCTACTTCACAGCTGATCTGTACCTCAACTCCAAATGTGGAGTGCTATAGTATAGTAGTTAGAGTGCTCGCCTTGCAAGCGAGAGACCTGAGTTTGATTCGATTCCCGGGCGGGACAGGATGAAACCTTAGGTAAGCTTCCTTACTCCACACACACACGCCTCTGTTTATCTAGCAGTAAGTAGGAACTCGTTTGTTAGTCAATTGGCAGATCGTTTTCCGAGATTAATAATCCCTCCAAAAACAAAATAATAATGTGGTCACTCAATCCATGACTGTTTGTGGGGCACTGCTGTGCACAATTGACTGCCGCATTTCGCCCACAAAATATACAGTCAATTCACTTTACAGTATGTTCTGTGAAGCTCTTTGAGATGTCTCGATGACGTGATATATCAAATGCAAGGATTATTATTATTATATTATAAAACAGATTTTCTACCACTAAGCAGATGTAGAATTGAAAGGCAGACCATGCTGGGTAGTATGCAGGATATATTTGTTTAATTCTGTTCTTTAATCCAAAAAAGATTTATCCTATGGGAAACTTGCAGGTTTAAATTCAAGATAAACATATTTTTATTTCCACCATCTGCAGTATTTTGCATTTTGTTTTAAACATATGTTTACATTGTTTTTATGGGGTAACTTTCACTATTCATTAAACTGTTTCACAAATAAGTTAAGGAATATTTTAAGCAATACTGCAAATATTTTCTCATTATTTCTATTGCATTCAGCATTTTTCAACAAAGCTTAATTCCCCTAAAATTGCATTTGATGCTTGGTACAAAGAATATGAAAGCATTTTAATAGCAGAATTCAATGCTGTTTAATTGCTTCAGTGGGAACGCAAAGGAATACAAATTATTTATTGCTTTCAGTTTCTACAGCAAACTGCTTTTAAATGACACAACCACCATTCCTGAAATGCATCTCTGCAAGTAAATACTGCATGTCGCCAAATCTGGGGTATTATTTATATTAGAGTGTAGTTATATTCTGAACTCAACATAAAATGTACCTGATAATTTAATAATTCCTGCTGTTGGAGCTCCATAACATGTGAAAATTGTTTCCCTCTTCTTGTAGAAGACAACATTTAAATTTCTGACAGGAATCACAAAAGACCACGAGAAAGCTTGAAGATATGCACACCAAACTCCTGTGCAAGTTTGAGGAGATTTTCATTGTTTTGCCAGGGCTCAGATTAGAAAATGCTGA